CACCAACCACGAACATGTTGCCTCGAAAGATGCTTGCACATCGCACATAATTGAAGTATGTTCAGGTGCATGCGTGAACGAGCCTTCAGTTCATAAGAGGCAGGCGCCAGCGTGCTCGAGACGGCTACTAATGCCGTCTTGTGCTCCGCAAGTGCAGAGCAGCAGCGAGATTGCCGCACGCGCAAAAGGACGAAAGTTCCCTCGATGCGTCGCGACAGCGGCGGCGTACGGTAACAATTCCCAAACACACAGCCATTATTAAAAAAAAAAAAAAAGCAGACAAGCAGCGAAACAGCAAGAGCCAGAACTTGAACGAAAACCAATACCGCGAGGAGACCGCTTCGGAGACCCACGTTTTCTGGGACTACTCCCCGCACTCAAGAGATGGGACGGAAAGCCCTAGAGGTATTACCACTTCAAATGCAAGCGAATAGCCTCGAAGAATGGGTCCTGCCCACTGGATCACACGAGCATCACAAGGCAACCGTCGAATCCCTCCTCACATACGTGAAAGAAACCAAAGTCACACGATTCATCTAGATGACTTAAAAAGCTCCTAAAAAAAAAAAAAAGAATAACACTTTGGTTGGGACAGGCCTGTCAATAAAAGCAATTTCACGCGAAAAAAAAAAAATAATTTAGAGCAATATTGACGGTGCGAGACGCGATTTAGTCTTGTTTTGTTTTCTCTCTCGGCATTTCGGGCTCGTGGAGGAGAGGTGGAGCGGCTTCGCCTTCACGACCGAGATGGTCACACAGGAATGACCGAAAAGTCATGGACTTATGGCGCAGAATTTCAAATAAATCTCTCGCCAATAATGTTGCTCTAAAATTGTTTTTTCGCGTAAATTTTTTTTTAACACGTGTCGCAACCAGATTGTTAAAAAAAAAACATTTTTTAGGTGTTTTTTTTTTTTTAAGTTAAAGGGGCACTCAAGTGGATTCTGAGATCGTCTATTTATTGTCATAACTCAATCTGCGGGCTCTAAGCATCCTAGAAATCCCAAGATTACATTGAAGGGCGGCCGATTTCCCTATTAAAAATCCAATCAAAGATCGCTGTTCTGCGCCTAGGCGCACGCCGTCAGGGGCGCTGTCGGACGGGAAGGCAGCAGGGAAGGGCGTGCGCCATCCAATCACGAGTGACGGCTTCCCGGCGGATTGATCCTTCGAACCGGCGGAGTGATCTTCCGAATGTGCGCGTATTTGATGGATTCTCGTTGGGACTCATTTTGTTTACTTCGGGTCTTGCGTCGTGTGGAGATGGACCTGCCAAATCTAACACCGTTAGAGGTGGAAATTCTTCGGCGGACGGCAGATATCAGCTCAATCTCCTACGACGCCACTCCTACGCGCGACGCCGATGCACCGAACGCGACGGACTCGGACGACAGTTCGCGATGCTCAATGTCGACACCGGAGGAAGACGACGAAACCGACGACGCAACCCAGCGGCTTGGGAACACCAACTGGTAGGTGATGAGCTGTTTATTATACCTCTCATATGTATAGCTGATGCTGGTTTTCTGTTTTAAGGTGCCAATGCAGTTGCTGCGTGCCGATGGAAACCGTCGCAGAGTGTGTCTGCTGCCGTGACTACCCGGCCGCCGTTCGCAAGCAGCAGGGCCGGCAGAGCTGCGTGACAAGCCACCCGGATTTCGAGGGGCTGTGCCTCGATCCGGGTGTGCTACAGCTGGCCTGTAGCACACCCGGGAGTGATGTGCGTGGGCACATCACTCCCGCGTAACAAGGCGAGGAGAAAACGTAGTTCGCTCTTTTTCAAACAATAATAGCTGTATTACGTCACCTACAGCCAAAGATTTAACGTTGTTGTCAAAATATAATGTGCATGTGCCTAAAAAGATCAATAATAATAACTTTAGCAATCTTTTCGCAGTTCGCTATTTCTATTGGTCGAATTCTATGGAGGTGGTGGAGACACGGGATGGACCCCGCAAGAGGATATAGTGCCTGTGTATTTCTATTGCTGTGAGTTTACTAGGGCGCCTTGCCATTTAGAACTGGTCATTTTTATTGACTGAAGCCCAACAAACAATATGCTTCCAAAAACAAGCTTCTCCAAAAAGCACTTGAGTGCCCCTTTAAGATTGGCAAGCGTAAATCACCTTTTTATACTTATAATACAGACATTTTCCAACCAACCAGAGGCGGCGTAGCCAAATTGGTTGGTGACATCGGTCTACTCCGTTGCCTGGTCCCCTTTAACGAACACCGCGTCCTCTCGAAAAGCTCCGCGTCAGAACTTGCACAACGATTTCAAAAGATCGCTCCACACGGAGTACTAAAACTAAAACTTTAAATCGGGAGATGGATATTGTAGCGAACATGATAATAAAAAAGTGATACCTAAAATTTACATAAAAAGCAAAGAAACCTTTGAGAACCTCATATGCAAACGTCATTGCTAGTGGTTCCACGCAGCGCCACCTGGCTCGCGACGACGCCAAGACGGACACGTCTGCCGCTTGGGGCGAAGGGGGTCCACAAACCATGACGTCATGCGCAGGCCTTATGTCTATTAATGTCTATTGGGTGGTGCTGCCGGCTAGGGACATAAGTATATTATCACAACGCAGAGGAGTGGTGCACCTGAATGACAATGGAGTCCCGATTAATCACCGCGGGGAAACGGATGCTCCAAGGACGCTGCTCCGAAATACAACCCGGTGGCACGCTGGGGAAAGTCGGCATTGTCATCGGCGGAAGATACGAGAGATCCGTAAATCTGTCAGGCCGCCCGTTCCGAGTCCAACGAGGCAAAGGCCCCTCACAAATAAAAACCGTCAGCAATAGAAAAAAAATAAATAAATATGGAGTCGGCTTTCTGTACAGTACGATAGCTGGAGCGTTTATGTCTACCCTGGCGATTGAGGAAGAAAACAAAAATGCTCGAGTAAGACACGGAACGCAGTAAGGAAGCGCTTGCTGCGTGAATGGGCCCTAAGAAGACAGTAGTGCTAGTAGAGTGAGTATCTTTAGGTCACTGACCGGAGGTCAGCTTGTACATATTATACACTAATGTTCAGCATATTGAAATTATAAATCGCGAGGGACACAGACGGACATGAAGTAGACGGGACAGCACTCTCATATTTATATAATATAATATAAAATATTATATTAATATTTTAGTACCCATGTTCAGGCAGTGATGACACGAGCGCTGTGACAGCGTTCGACCGGGAGCAGCCTTCGATCGGCGGGGACCACAGTTCTCAAGGGCAGAGATGTATCCGATTTCAGCTCAGTGTCGCATATTTGGCTCGGGGACAACTCGCTCTGCAAGTGCGGAAGTAGTAAAGAGTGCGCGTGAACAGACGTGATCGGCGCCCAAGGCACGCGAGCTCACGCGCGCACCCATAGCTTTAGCTTCGTAGAAAAAGAAATTGCGAGCGCGTGACTCTAGACTAGACAGTAGTTTCTCTTGAGCGAGAGTCTGCGCAAATAAGGCGTCGGGCAGAATGCACCATGTCGCGCAAAGGTCCTCTTGGTCCTCTTACTGCAAGAGCTGTGTGAATCGTGGACAATAGGACACGAACGATGCAATGCCAAATTTTCAGTTCCAAGAAAGAAAAAATATATATATACTCTGGTGTAGGCCATTTACCTAAAACACATGAAAAAAAAAAAAAAAAGAAGAGGAATCGAACCGCGCGCAAGCACGTGGTTTGAAAGAATGTCCAGCAGTCACGAGCGCTCGTGCAAAGGTGGAATAGAATACCACCCCCCCCCCCCCCCCCTATACTTTTTAGAGAAAAGAATAAATAAAAGAGATCAATCGTAAGTCGTACGTGCGAGCACAACAGAAGCTGCAAGAGCGAACTCCTCCGCATGTCCGTGCACGCACGCTCGCGCAGTGCAAGAGTCGTTCAAGGCAACATGCTCGCAGCCCCAGCAACCCCCCCCCCCCCCCCCCCCCCACCGGCGCCCCTTCTCCAACCAAAAATAAATAAATAAAACAAATAAATAAAAAGAAGCTTGCTTTTACGAGCGCGTCCGCTGGAAAGAACGCCTACATCAAATTGATGCCTAAGCAGATCAAATACGTCTAGCACCTCGAACTCGTAATTCTGCCGCTGTTTCGATAGAGTTTGCGAGAAGCGATCGCCGGCTTCGCCTGGATTTCCTTTAGAATTGAGAGATTATCAAAACTGCCAGCGTTTCGGAAACTGCTCATCTGGGCCACTAAAACAATTAATATATCTGAAGAAAAAAAAATGTGTTTACGCTACTGTATCGTGCAGTGCATGCACAAACCGAGAGTCATCGAGTAAGAATCCAGATCGAACTGACCGATAATGAACTTGGATACGTCGACAGCGCATTTAATCGTCCGTTCACCACAGCAACGGCCCCGGTATCTCTTCTCAAACACGAACGACTCGGAACAGAAACCCGGAAAACAAACAAAAGACGCCGGGCATCGCGGCTGAAAGAAAACCGAACAGACCCCACGACGTTCGAAAGCTGAGATAGGATCTCGGATGTCCAGATTTTGAAAATCGAAGTACGGTCGTACGAACGGCGTCTCGAGCGAAAGGCGACCGTTCTGGGACGCTCGTTCAGCTCGGACATTCCATTTGGAACGCACTCTCGCCGTGGACTCGCTCGCCGAAAAGCGAGATCGGTACCGTAACCTAGGGCAGTTTGGAACGCCGCAGTAGAGATCGCACGTAGTCTGGCGTGATTCATACACCGCGCCGCAGCCAGTGATCGTATTACAACGAAACAAACAAAAACAGAACACGGAGACGCAAGGCGGTCGCGACTGAGCGAGAGCGTTCTCGATGCAAAAACGACCTATTCGATTGCGACTTTGGATCACCGGAAAGATCTGACGCGGCTCGCGGCTACTTCGTACCCTTTGATTGTTCCTTTTCGCTTGTTTCTCTCCGAGAACGAGAACTTGTTGCGTCTGCGAAACGAAAACTTGACGCGCGCAACAAGCGGCGGGGGAAGAGTAGAGACGCTTCACTCACGAAACCATAGCCTCTGCTCTTGCCGGTCTGCCGGTCGGTGATCACCACAGCCTCCTCGATGTCGCCGAAGGCTTCGAAAAACTGCCGTAGCGACTTGTCCGTGGTGTGGTACGGTAGTCCGCCCACGAATATTTTGGTGAACGTAGTGTCTTTCTGCTGCACTCCACTGTCCGACATGCCGCCGACAACTCTCTTGCATGCTCATCTGACGCGCCAGCTGCACGTCACGTGATCTGCCTCCCGAGCGCCCCTTCGCGTTGGAACGTCGCGGAGCGTCTGCTACTGAGGCTTCAGTTGATGCGGGCAAAAAAACGTTTTGGTTTCGGTTTCGGCGCGCGGTGTTTCCTAGGCATTCTGTGAAGGACCGTCGCTACTGCTCCTTTAGAATTAAGGATGTTAACAAGTCAGCAAGTGAAAATTTACAACATGGTTTCCTTTTATGTATCGTCGTTAACTCTAGCCTCGCAGTGGTTTTACAAGGGCGCAAGTTAATTAATTGTGTTAATTTAACCTGCAGCTCCCAGAAAGCACGATTGCAGAAGAGTTTTATAGGCACAAATATACAAATGCGCACAAATATACACACGCGCATAAATATGCACTCATACGCACATAAATGCATAGAAAATCGCTGTTCAAATGTTTGGTAATTAACCTTAAAGTACGAGTATACATAAAGCATTTAAATTTCACATCGTATTTTTTTTTTTAACAATTCGAACAGGGGTTTGATATAACATGTAAAAACCAAAAAAGAGAACCAACTCGCCGCAACTCAAGATATATGCATGTATGTTCGATAATTATAATTCAGAAAAATAATATATATATATATATATATATATATATATATATATATATATATATATACAAATAATGGCGGAGCCAGGATATATATCCTGGCTCCGCCGTTATTTTGGCTTTTGGCGGGTTCCTTAAAACTTTGATTCTTATATTAATTGGATTAAGTACGGTTCATTCATCTGCATATGTTCGTTTATATATATATATATATATATATATACTAACATTTATTAAAATCACACTACCACGCGGAAGAGAAAGAAGAGCAAGCGGCTTTTGTAGGAATTTTAAGTGACAGGTTAATCTCTTATAATCTTCACGCCTGGGACACACAAAAGGGAGTTCCAGTGAGAGGGGAGTTCCTCCTTCCCCTTGTCTCTGGTGGTGGCCGGAGAGCTGACGGAATGACGTTAGGTGCAAAGCATGTACAGTGCAATCCACTAATAACGATAATGAGAAAATATCGAAAATTCAATCGTTATAACCGAATATCGTTGTATCTGGACTAGACTGAACGTTTCTAGTCTAGAACTTAGTAAAAACTGATCGTTATAAGCAGTACATCGCTATAAGTCCCCCGCAAATCGGTCTAGTTCAAGAAAGTATGAATAGATGACGCTGTCAACCTTTCAACTTTATATTTTAATTTTTTTGTGACGATCTTATGAATATCACAAAAAGAATGTTTACCATAATTGTTATGATTTTTGTTGGGTCTAATCGTCCGACAGAAAGGTTTAATTGTACAAAACATGAAACGCACCAAATCAGCCAAATCTGGCGCATTTGACCTCGCTCTGTCTGGCGTGGTCTGGCCAGGCTCGCTTTAGATCGGCCGTCGCAATCCAAGCCAGTCCAATTTACAATGGCGATGGTCGGATGCGTTACTGGCGTTACTTTGTTTACAACGCACTTCTATTCCCCTTGAAAACGTTGGTTTTGGTGTGTACTTGCTTACGTCCACTTACGAGCGACTTTGTATTCTCTACAGCGTCACTGATCGAAGAGTTCATAAACCGAAATACCATGTCCTCCTCAAATAGGCTACGGATCGACGAGGCAGAGTACGGCCAAGTGGGGATGTCTCCTAGCTCCGAACACAACTCTGGTAAAACCTCCAGTTCTTCCAGTGTCCGTACCGTCGATTCACCAATACCCGCTATGGCACCGCCTTTACCGACGATACAGTCCGTACGGAGCTTATCCGAAGACGCAGCTACACACGCGAACTGTTCGTCGTCACTACCAGCAAACAACCCGACCTCCCATGCAAGGACCTACGACAACTTCCCAGGGTTCGGTGTAAAGCTGGGAAGACCCAAAGGAAGGCTGCAGTTCTCTACCTACTTTTCACCCGACGAGTTCAGGCCCCATTACACCATCAAGGCCTGTTCCGCCAACGGCGGCGCGGTGGTGGCGAAAGGCGAGCACGCGTACGCGTTTTGCGACGTCGAACACGGCAAGGCTGTGATCGAAACCCTCGACCGAAAGATCGCCGCCGTGCTCCAGAAGACGGCTGCTATTCGTAGGAAGCTGTCCGGACACCGGACTCGATACAAGCGGAACAGGGACCTCCTGAAGCAGCTCAACGAACTGCGGGAGTTTCGGAAGCTTCCCAAGCTCGTGTTCAATCCTTCGCAGAAACGCATGAATCGCGAGGCCGTTGCGGCGCCTGTGAACTCTGCCGGTGTGACCAACGTCGCCAAGGGGTCTGGCAGCACGTGCGATCAGTTGCGCTTGGACGACGATATAATTGTTTGTGAAGAAACTGCAGGTTAACAAGATGCTGTGGAGCCTCGCTTAAAGGCGCTTTCGTTTTTTTGTTTTTTTTGTGGATGCACACATTGAGGAAATTTTTTTTTAAATTTAATTCACAGTCACTAACAAGGTGAGAACGACAGGGAGGAGCTTCAGTAGTTTTGCCTCCAGCGTCGGCTTCCTACCTTCGACAAGGCATCAATGCCTCGTGTACCTCGAGCATGCGTGCGCAGCCAAAGCATGGCAAAAGGCATAGAGCATGTGCTGGGGGACGGACGTTCGAAAGACATGCCCTGCCATTCTCATTCTGTCAGTGACTCCGAGTACCTGCCACGTTTTGGTCACTGTTGCATATGATGTGCCCGACCTTGTTTTTCTTGTTTCCAGATGTAGATTTGAACTTTCTTCCAACAGCCCCAGTACATCAGACCTTGGAAAATAAACTAAAAAAATAATCATTGCTCAATCGTCCATTTTTTTTTTGTTCTTGTGACACATGTGGTAATGTTTTGTAATTGTAGAACATCTACGGCCATCTTCAAAATGACAGTGAACACGCGATCGCCGACCGACCGGTGCTGCCAGAGTGGACTAGCAATGGCTCCGAGCATCACGGAGGTAGAGTAACTGCCTGCGCAGAAAGAACTGGTGCGTTGTTGCAGTAGCGTGTATCACCCTGCTTGCTTTCAGAAAAAGAAAAAAGGAAGCGACTTGTGTTTTGGCAGAGATGACGCGCACGGTGCGACAGCAGCCAAAAGGAGCGTGTGAAAGGCATTGGTCACATAATTTCGATAATGGGATGAAGCAGTTCGCCGCGTTGTACCCAGACTGACATGAAAAAGAAGTAGTATACTTCCTCCTAACAACTCATCCGTTTTTTCTGCACAGGTGCCTGCCCTCTCCGTGATGCACGGAGAGGGTAGGCACGATGCGTCATAATGGAAATGATAGTACAGTCTGCGGCAATGCGAGCCTGCCCAGTTTGGTGCTTGCCGAAAGGGCTAAAATGCCGCACGGGTGCCTGTTGCATACCGAACTATGAAACCGACCGGCACATTTCAACATTTGAAAATGTAACAATCCATTTCAACCTTTTTTTTTTTTTCTTTTTAGCAGCTTGGTGTGCTTGGAGATTCCCACGTGGCTTCTGTGCTGCCTGGCCTGAGCGCGGCCGATCCGGCTTGTATTTCCGCACCCCATACTTGCCGAGGTAACATTTAAAAATTTTACTAGCTGTCCTTTGCACACACCAAGTTTTTTGCAAACACCATTAGATCGCAAGTCGTCCAATCTACCTCCAGTAACAACGTGCCTCTGTATTGTGCACGTAGGGGGTCGGACGACTCAGTCTTCAACGTTTTCTGTCTTGCGTGGAGAAAGTTGGCAGCTTGTATTAATATGAAAGCATTAATTATCCCAAGGAGCGCAGCCGGCGGCTTCTGTAACCGAAAAAAACGCGAAAGAAATGCCCATTCTCCCCGTGGCTGAGCAAAATGGCTCCTAGATAGCCATTGGAGGCCGCTTCACGAGAGCGCACGCTCGGCTGCCGGCCGCAACCTCGGCAGTAGCGAAACGTGACCGTCCACGCCAGTACACCGCAGACAAACTAAGAGAACGACGATCATGCTTTCGCATTCCCAACTTGTAAGAAGTGCTTAGCTGACCTCGAAATCTTCTCGCTGCATTTAGAGCTGCCTTCGAATGTCATCTTACGAGGCAAAGCTTAGGGCTGTTGTGGCTGACGGCAACTGCCAATCCTTGCTACTCTATATGCCTACTGCGAGGGAGTGACGGCAAGTTTGTGCAGTGTTTTCTGCTGTGCCACATTTCTGACCAAAAAAAAAAATCTGCCCCTTTCCCAATACTATGGTGGCAAAGGCAGTGATAACGTAAAGCCTATTGTGTCTTGCTTGACGGCGACGTCGCACCGAGGAACTTCGTGTGTGTGTTGTGCCTCGATGGCGCAAACATCTTTGTGCAATGCGTCTCTGAAAGAAAGCCTTGCCAAAGCTGGCGCTTGAGGGTGTGCAACACAAAGTTTACGTCTCTCACGGCCGCACACCCCAGCTTTGACTGCTATTTCACATCTTCTTGTCTTCTACGAAGTACATGCTCGTTCTCATCCCTTCCCTCCTGCACACACTCCCGCTATATGTGCGAGCATGTTTGCTGCCTTGTGACAACATTTCATTTCATTTCATTTAAATTATTTACTCTCAAGGCCGAAGCATTACAGAGAGGAGTGGTGAAGCAAAAAAAAATACAACATGAACATAAACACAGCAGGGGGATTACAAAAAATGGTTGCAAACGGCACTTTTGAAACGGTCGGTGTCAGTGATTGAAGCGGTGGAGGCGGGGAGGTGGTTCCAGTCTGTGCAGGTTTTGGGAATGAACGAGTGGAAGTGCAAATTGGTGCGGCTGCTTGGGACGCCAACCTTGAACTGATGGTCGCTGCGGGAAGAAATGTACGATGGTGGCAGAAAGAGAGAGTCACTGAGTAGAGAATTGAAATGATAAACCTTATGAAAGAGACAAAGACAAGATAGTTTACGACGCAATGAAAGATCGGGTAAGTTAAGATTAGATTTCATAGAAGTGACACTGGCAGTTCGAAAGTAATTTGAGAAGATGAAACGCGCGGAACGGTTTTGAATGGCTTCTATTTGAACAATAATGGAGTTAATATGAGAGTCCCAGATTGATGATGCATATTCAAGCTTTGACCTCACTAAAGTTTTATAAAGTATGAGTTTCAAGTTAGTTGGGGCTAAAGAAAAATTACGCCGTAGATAACCGAGTGCGCGATTAGCATTACTAGTGATGTAGTCGACGTGATCTTGCCATGAAAGGTTAGCAGAAATGATAATGCCAAGATATTTGTAGGACGAAACTTGCGTTAGGTGAACACCGTTAAGTAAGTAGTCACACGGTAGGATGTGATTTGAATGACGTGCAATTCTCATTGACTTACATTTGGCAGGGTTAAGTTTCATTAGCCAGGTGTCACACCAAAATGAAATGTTATCGAGGTCAGACTGAAGAGCATGATGATCAGCAGGTTCCAGAATTTTGCGATAAACAACACAGTCTTCAGCAAAAAGTTTTATAGATGAAGAAATGCAGCTAGGTAAGTCGTTAATATAAATAAGAAAAAAAGTGAAAGCCGTTTACAACTTCCTGTAACGCCGAATTGGAGCGCAGCTCTTGAGGAGGAGTGGAGGGTATATTCCTCCTCCTCCCTCGTGATCATGCCTGCTAGTCCTCCTCCCCTCCTGCTCCCCCTCCCTCTCCTTTACCACCTCCTCGTCCTTCAAGCTCCTCCCCTCCCCTCGCCTCCGCCTCCTCGTCTCTCCTCCCCCCTCCTCCACCTTCCTACTGCTTTCCTCCTTGCCGCTCAAGCCGGACAATGAGGGGAGGAGGAGGAGAAGGAGGGGGAGGAGGAGGAGGGGGAGGAGGAAGAAGAGGGGGGGGGAGGAGGAGGAGAGGAGGAGAAGGGGGAGGAGGAGGAGGGGAGGAGGAGGGGGAGAAGGAGAGGGAGGAGGAGGAGAGGGAGGGGCGCGGTTACGCCGACGGCGACGGCGACGGCGACGGCGACGGCGACGGCGACGCCGACGCCAACGGCGACGCCGCTCAGGCTGGAAACGGGCCCCTAAGAGCTGCGCTCTAAAAGCAAGGGCCCTAGCACTGACCCCTGCGGGACACCGGACGTTACCCGACAGTGAGGGGAGTTATGGTCATTGGCAGTTACATATTGCGTGCGATTAGACAAGAAGCATTCTATCCATTTAAAAATATTTGGGTCCATGTTAAGTTTACTTAATTTAAAGAGGAGCAGACTATGACAGACACTATCGAATGCTTTAGAAAAGTCGATGAAAATGCAGTCAACAGTGATTAAGTGATCTGCAGAAGAGAATAAGTCGTTATTAAAGGCGAGTAGTTGAGTTTCACATGAGTAATTTTTTCTGAAGCCGTGTTGATGCATACTAAAATAACATTGCAAGCTCGCTTTTCCCCCTTGTTGCTTCAGCATCGGATTGCCAACCAGAGTAACCCCGGTTTGAAGCAAAGCACTCTCACTTTCTGTTGTGATATTTTATGCTGGTAATTTTGATTTTTTTGCAATAATGAGTGCTGTCTGGTGAGTTGTCTTCGAACTATGATAGAGGGGAAGCCCAGCTTGCGTCCACCCATCAGAATACACTGGCAACATGATGTTGTAGTGATCTTTGTTGCCTTTTATGCCCCATACTAGCGTATACTCAAACAAGAATTACCAAAAAAGACAAAATACATGCAAGGATAGTTGCTGAATATGCTGGTCGACCAGAACTCTCCCCTGCGAAAATAACGACAGCAGGAAGCAAGGCTAGGGAAGGTGGCGTATGCATGCACGGAAGTTTACTGGAAAAAGTTCTGTTTCTCATGTGATGCTTCTTCATTACAGAAAACAACTAGGAACCAGTCATATAACGCATTCTGCGTTAAAGCCATCACACGGTGTGCATCGAACACGGGGTGGAATGTTGGAAGGTTGCACGAGTAAAAGGAGGCCATGTAAGTCCACTGTTTTGTCTGCGATTTTAATTGGTCTATAATGTACACATAGTAAACAGCGCTAAAACCACTCACGCAAGGAAGGGCACTGAGCAGTCTAAAAGAGGCGGAAAGTTTCTTTTTCTTTAGATCAGTGTCGACTTCGAGTGCACAGGGTTTTCCGTTGATGGACAGGCATACTTGAAAGGTCTTAAAATCTAACATACAATAACAAGTCACTGTTTTTCTACTGCTAGAGAACCTCATATTCACGCCAACAAGTGTTGGCCAAGTCAGTAATCAAGGAAGGAAAAAAAAACGTTTGCAATAAATACTGCTCCAGAAACAAGAAAAAAAAATATGAAGGATTCCACAGAATACTTTGTGTCGCAACTCCACCGGTCAGTTAGAGAAAACATGCAAACTTGAAGGGGAAAGAAGAAAAAAAAAATGGTCTGTGGAATATGGAAGATCCCGGCGAAAATACAAAAACTTGCATGGCATTTGCGTCACGACTAGGATTTTGCGACTGTGAGCGAGGTCATGCAGATCTATTCAGTTATATCTCTGTGCGCAGAGAATTTCAGATCATTGCTGTCCCCATGACATGTCGTCTGATGCCATTTGAAAGCCAGTCACCAAATACCGCTCGGGTGAATCCACGAACTGCGCTTCGGCAGACGACTCCCGTTTCACTCGTGTGCCAAAAGTGTGCATAGTGAAATTGTGATGTATGGTTAGGGCTTTTAGTAACTTTTTACAGATCTTACAATATTAATTGCACCTTTATTTTCTCTTTTCTTTTCTTGTATATTTTATTGCCACCATCTGCTATAACTAGAGCCACTAAATAAGCCATGCTTCAGAGTAGCAACACTTCAGCCATCTTGGTGCTTAAAATCATTGTTGCCAGTTGTTTGAAGCTTTATCTGAAATCACAGGAAATGCTTTTTTGTGCTCTAGAAATGTTAATGCAGTCGGCGATGAAGCTAAGCAATATCGCTTGAGCTTCCTGACAAAGTGTCTAAAGCCCAGGAAGTCAAATGTTTTAATTGTCACGGATGCCAATTGTGCCGCTCTTCACTAAGCCCCAGAAAGGCAGTGCCCGCAAGAAAAAATCCCGAAAATGATGGCACCCACAAGAAAGTTGGGGATTAAAGTCGATATTCTAGTGGCTCAAGCTATAGCATTCTCCATATGAGACAAATGCAGTTGCCAGAGAGTGTGGTGGTAATCTCGTGGTAATACAAGTTTGGTACTGTATCGGACTGCTGCTTTTGAACAGTTGAGTTTGTTAATTGGAAGGGAAGATTACATACTCGATCGATTCAAATGTTTCTTAGGTTTGCCAAATATTTTAAGATGGCCTCAGGCGCATTACTGCTCACTTCCCATGTTGGCTAGCTGACTAATTGCAGAAGTTGTCAGGTAAGCAGTGCTCCAAAGTTTAGTACAGCACTCAAGTGGACTTTGTGTCAAGAGGCAGGAATAAGAATAAGCTTTGGAACTAAAAACTATGGAATCTTAATTGCTCCTGTCCACCTAAAAGCTTTGTTTGAAACAAATTTCTTAAATTTTGATTTCCAAAAGTGATAACTGTATTTGCCATAAAAAAAAAGGGAGCTATCATATATACATATACAATGCAGCTAATCATTTGTCCAACAAACTGCTGCAGATTGCAGTTTCCGGCTGTCGAGAAACCATGTCATGCAGGAAAGCGTCGGCGACAACTTCAGCAGACCTTTGCGAAGTCCCAAGTTTGCCACTTGTCAAGGTCACACTAAACATTTCTCGGGATGCAACCCAATGCATTTCCGTCGTAGAACATGCTTAAGTAAAACAAGAAAAAAAAAAAATGTAGTCAACAACACAAACAGAACAATGAGGAGACACGTCATGACAGTATCTTACAAAAACGGGCACGATAAATATGCTTATGAGTCATAATCGCACTCGCAGCGATTCCCTGCTGGGGAGGTTGTCAATGGGAAATCGGAAGAATGCAAGTTGCACATATGCAGGTCAACCTTTCAGTCAGTTTCCTTTTGTCTTTTTATTTTTTTTTACAGGCGAGACATTTACGTCCGGACAAAAACAAAAACATGCATGCGTCCGGCACTCGTAAAGTCCACTTGTCCGTAAGGAAACAAAGTCGCAAAGAGCAGCAAACCTTCCAAGGTCAAGTCGGCAGGCTCCGTACAGAAATCAGATTGCCCGAAGCTGCAAGGGACGACGAAGCATTGCGCCGCATAGCGCAGTCGTCGTTCCGAGCCCTCGGCAGCCGCAAAGTATTTGCGGAGAAGGAACGGAAGTATTTTGGAGTGAACGAAGATGAGGAACGAGAGACATGACCGCGGCTCTTTGAACACACTGTTAGCGAAGTGAAGGAAGCTGACCCGACAACAGGCTCATTTGAAGTGGGGTCATTGTACATCGAAAATAATGCCATGCCTTCAAATGTAACATCACAGACTAGATCTCATGTTTACAATGGTTGAGCATGTTTACGACAAAGAAAAAAAAAGGGGGGGGGGGACCTTATGTGCGTTTGGTGCGAGGTCGAAGACACAGCACGACTACATCGTAAACGCGAGCCTCTGGGGCTTGCTTCTTTCTTCCCCGCAGGAATAGATTTCTTGCACACAGGGTCACACCGCACGTCCACCGACGACTTCACGCGGGGAACGGGGTCCACAGGCAGGAAACCCGCCGCTCTGCCTCCAAAAAGGTGGCTCAAAAAGAGCAGCATCGAGTGCCAATAAAAATAAGTCCAAAAAGACTCGGTCACAAAACAACGAAAAACAGTGAAACGAACAAAAAAAAAACAGCAGTTAAAAACGTGAACAAACGAGAATGGAACGCGACAAAGAAAAAGGGTGGTGGTGGCGATGTGATTCTTCCTTCCGTTGCTGCACCCTCACCGTGATCCCATCATCATAATCGTCTTCGACATCAGATCACGCGCAAACCTCGCGTCTTTCTTTTGGGAATGCCCCTCCCCCACGGAGTCACAAAAGCACGCAAGGGCGCCTGCTGTCGCGTTTCTGTCGCGTACGCGCGCTCTTCTGCGAAGGGGGGAAAGGAGGGCGGTTTTTGCGGGTCCAGCGACCGCCGAGGGAAGGACGCGCCTTGTAAACCGCCCCACCCCCGCAGCTTTCGAAAATCTTAAATAACTATAAGAGGAAAGGCGGGAGAGAGAAGGAGCATACACAAACATTGCACTTGGGAGAGAGAGAACAACTTGTTTGTCTTTTTCTGTCCGTCCTAGTCTTCAACGCCCCCCTCTCCCCCCGGTGTCCTTGCGCACGTCCAGTTCAGTCTTCATGTCCGTCGCAAAGTCCTGCCGCGTGTCGTCGGGCAGAGGGGGGCGGCAGAAGGGCAGGGGTCGGAGTCAAACGAGATTCTGGGTTGTTACGTCGCCCGGTGGGTCCGCACGCGGCGGCTCAAGTCTCCATGAAGCTGGCAGGCGAGAGCGAGGACCGTTTGCTGTGGGAGTCTCCGACGCCGTTAGACGACGGCATCCGCGAGAGTTTGCTCGAGAACGACCCGAGGATGTCGCCGGCGCTGGACGCGGCAGACATCGAGGGCGCCGAAGAAGGTGCCCCTAGCAGCGACGCCACGCTGGTCGGGCTCACGAGACTCGGAGGGGTGTCTAGGAGTCCCAGGCTGCCCTCGCGGTACCTGCATCGTGCAAACATGGAATCCACCTTTAGCTTTGGAACTGAGCGTACATCAGGTTAAAGACTGGTTTACACACTCGCATTTGGCAGTGGTCGACTGCACTATGACCTCTTTGACCACTTATATGAAAGAATGTGATGATGCAATCTATCATGTAGCATAGGAACACTTCAGATCTGTATATAATCCTTAGGGTTTTTTTGTTTTTTTTACGCATCATTCTTTTATAATGGACTTGAAATAATGCTGACAATGTTATGAGTGACCGTTTCTTGTAAACAGACAATGTTATGAGTGACCGTTTCTTGTAAAGAGTGCATAGATTTGGTCTTGCAGATAGCATATTCGAGTGCTGCTTGCACGCTTGGACCAGTTTGTTGTAACCCCGCTCTACACGTCACAATGGAATGCAAGGAATCGTAGTGCGGTCAGTTACGGTCATATGGAAGCGTGTGAACGAGCCTTCTAAATGTGATCAGCAATGTGTCAGATACATATATGTATATATAGAGCAAAGTCACTGGTACATCAGCAAAGTCAACACTTTGCTTTGTCTTGTGTTCTCTTCGTCTCTTTGTGTCCTCGTCTTAGTCGCGCTGTTTTTCAACATGAAATTCACCACTTTATAGCGCCAACTAATAGCGCCAAGAAAGCAATCATACTTCAATCCTGATTGACGGAAGGCCATTTTGTTTCATCCAACCGGTTCATTCTCTTCCCCATTCTGATTAAAAATGGGAGGAGTATGAGGTACTACATGTAGCCTGTTTTATACAGAGGCATTGTTGTTAGACTTCATGAAGCGCATACTTAAAGGGACACTGACAGGGTGTTTATGCTCGCCGAGGTTGTTAGTTGTACATGACATGTGAGAGCCCAACTACCCAGAACACAATTTGCGACTTGCAATTCGGTTTCTTTCCGCCCGAAAACCGCCGATCAAGAACTGGCCGGTTCGAGTCTAGCTCATTTTCTTTTCCGTGGTCACGGGCCGTTTTTCTAAGGTATCGATGCGACCACCAAATTTAATGAAATTCGTTGGTCACTGAAGGCACACACTCAATATTAAAAATAGAAAAAAAAAATATGAAACCCATTTTTTGTGGCTTCTAAAAAGCTGCAAATACGTTGATTGAAAAAAAAAAAAGTTCCACAGAGAACCGGAAGCATTCTGCGCGTGCGTCGTTTCGCGTATTGTGGGGCTCGCGGGGACGGCGATGGCAGCGGACGACGGGCGTGGGACCTCTACTTCAGAACTGTCGTTCGCGGAACCGGCGAATTCTGTCTCCCTTTAAAATAAAAATGTAGGACTGATCAAAAGAATTGGTATTCATCCCGCACGACACGCCCGACCACCAAGCCGATTTGCACGAAGACGTCGCCGAGCCGTCGCTCCCTTCTCGTGGCTGAAGACATCGCTCGCGCAAACTTCAAGCACGACGTGTCCACTTCGAGTTGAATATGCACGGGTACGATTTCTTTACTAGGTGCGAATGTCGCCAATGCGTAGTGCTTACCGACTCCGACCTGGGAGCGCTTTTGCTGGAGGAAAATCGGCAGCAAACAACTTACAGTTTACCGGCTAAATTATTACTAAGGAAAGAAATCCCCCAGTAACGAGATTCCCGAGTAGCTCAGCGGGAACGACGTCTGCTTCACACGCGGCAATACCGAGTTCAATCCCCAGTAATGGCTTGTTGTTTTTTTTTTTCTTATATTTTTTATGTTTACATTTCTTTTTTTTACAATTATCACTAAAGAAACAAACAAAAAATAACAAACAAATGTTGTGGACGAAACGTCACTGAATTCAATAGGATACGATTTCCTTTTTGACACCTTGGAGCTCAATGTAATCACTTTCCACAAAATGCAAGGAGCATATAGATCAGATAGCATTCGCTTTCCGAGGTGCCCGTTAATGTTCTACAGGAATTGCAGCCAGCCATTGGTCCCGGTCCCGTTGATCTTTCGGAAACTCTGTCGCACAATGCCACTTTTTTGCGGACGCAGGACATGTGAGCCAGCTCTTCACGCAACATCTTGGGTGTATTCTTTGTGGAGCCGACCATGGAAATTAACCACGGGCACTCACTACTTATCTCCAACTCCTCAATGTACAAAACAACTCATCTTGGAGTACAGAACAGCGAGCGGAACAAACATAACTGCAAAAAAAAACGCATGGCAAACAGTTCCCCCTACGCCGCATGTCGTCTGCTACGCAGAGGGGAAAAAAAAAAAGAAGGAAAAAAAAAAAGCGGATGGTCGGGTGTAGCCACGGGATTTCCGCCACTCTCTCCCCTCCACTCCTCCGACCTCCGTGCGCGGGTTTCGGTTTCGGTTTTGAGCAATTGCGTCTTTTGGTTTTATTAAAAAAATATGGTACTCTGTTGCAAAATATTAATTGGGTAGTTCTCCAACACCATAATGAAGCGCCTGGCAAAAAATGAAAAATATTTTTTTGGGGGTGTCAGTGTCCCTTTAAAGGGGCAGTGCAATGGTTTTAATGTTGAAAAGATTTCCAGTTTGCATTTTTTATATTGTTCATACAAGCCCAAGTGACCAAAAATGCGTCACCTTTCCCCAAAATACGGTTATTCTGCTGCGTAATCGCAAGGCAAAAAACGAATTATTTGCCGATCTGCAGCCGCCTTTTGATGTGTGTGCGAGATTGGACGCTAAACGCACCAATCGAAGACGTGCTCCCGGCACCATAGTACTGGTGTCTTTGTTTTAAAGCGATAGCTTTCAGGGCGGCACTTTGCAGAGATTTCGAGCTCGTGGGCTGTTGTCGCTGCCATGGAAAATCCCTCGTTCCCTCTCCTCTTGGTGCAAAGAGAGGGAAGTGGAATTTTCCTGTCGGCCGGGCAGCTCGGAGAGAGAAGAGAGGGCAGCGCCGGCATCCCGCCAGTAGCGACGCGACGAAGGGAGATTTTTCCTGTCGTCTGCTTCAAACAAAACGGTTGTTTCCAGACATTCCTCGTGAAATGCAAAATCCTAGTTTTGCAGTATCCAATCGCTACGCGTAATGTTGGACGGTTTTAGAAACTTGCACTGCGCTTACCCACTTACATCACGGATCACCGAGCACTCGTGGTGGTCATCAGTGGCATGCACGGCGACCACCATGACGGCCACCTCAGTATGTGATGGCACCTTTCTACCCGCATCGTGCGACCATGCTACAGCTATCGCTTCCGTTTCTTCGCACATTGTGGGTGAAAAATTCAACTTTTCTTTAAAGCAGCCACGCCCCTCTTGTGAAGCTTGCTGTGTGCTAGCGTTCTCATGTCAAGCTTTTCGGCTTCGCTCCCACGCACGTGCGTAAAGCTTCACAACTTTGCAACGATTTCTCGAAGAGGCGGCTGACGAGGAGGAGCACCTCGATTAGCCCGGTTGGCTGAGGAGTTTGCTGCTCTGGGTGTGCTTGGCCTATATATCAGGCGTATGAAAAGTAGGTGGTGGGCATGGTCGCAAGCTCGAATCTCAAAAGTAGGTCCCATATTCTGACATGGGCTCATGCTCGCTATTCTACAGTATAGTCGCATGTAATTAGCCCTCCCCCCCCTTCCCCAGAAATTGTTTTTCGTTCAAGTCGTCCTTAATAATGAGACAAAAATGCGCATACCGTGTTTTCCGGTGTATAAGACGCGGCTTTTTTCAAAAGTTCTTGCTGGTGCGTCTTATACAACGGTGCGTCTTATACGCGAATTTTTTTTTTTTTTTTGCGAGTTCAGAAATTTGAAATTTACTCGGTTGATGTTCAAGCTTGTTTCACCAAAAACAAAATATCGCTACCGATCACGCGGTCGTAACACGGTGATACTTCAATACGGGGACCACCGCGTGCCACGTTTTAGGTGAACTCCAAGATTGCAAACATGCGGTCGTTGCGGATGCGGAGGTCCCAGGCGTAAGTAATGTGAAATGCCAACAGATGGCGACAATCACGCTTCTCGCCAAGACAAGCCAGGACAAGCCAGGACAAGCCGCCTCTCTTTTTCAGTCGCCATTTTCATCTTTGTTCGCTCTGCGTACGTGCGTCGTCGTGTTTTCCTGCCATCTGCCCGGTCTTGCTACAATATGCCACCGCAGTCGCGCAAGAGCTACACAGCGAAGTTTAAATTATCTGCGGTCGAGTACGCTACCGAACACGGTAACCGGGCTGCAGGTCGCCGTTTCGACGTCACCGAGAAGATGATTCGCACATGGCGACAGTCGTCCACCAAACTACAGGCGATGAAAAGTGGAAAAAAGGCTGACCGCGGAAAGAAGGCGCGGTGGCCTGAACTTGAAGACCGGCTCGTCAAGTGGGCTCTTGAACAGCGGGCTGAAGGTAGGGCACTGTCAACCGTGCAATTGCGCTTGAAAGCACGCACTTTGGCCAGTGGAATGAATGCCGCTGATTTTGTTGGTGGGCCGTCATGGTGTTATAGATTTATGCGCCGCAAAGCCTTGTCAATCAGAGCGCGAACGACAATGTGTCAGAAACTCCCAGACGACTTCGGAGAAAAAGTGGAGAAGTTCCAAGAATTTGTAAAGAAGGAAGTCGAAAAGAGTAACATCATCGACAGCCACATTGTGAACATGGATGAAGTGCCCCTGACATTTGATATCCCTATGTCAAAAAGTGTCGCTCAGAAAGGTGCCAAGGCAGTCACAGTACGAACAACTGGGCACGAAAAGTCTCACTTTACAGTTGTACTAGCGTGCTGTGCTGACGGAACAAAGCTGCCGCCGATGTTGATTTTTAAAAGAAAAACAATGCCAAAAGAAAGCTTTCCGCCTGGTGTTGTCGTCAAAACTAACGAGAAGGGCTGGATGGATGAGCAAATGATGGGAGTCTGGCTCGAAACCTGCTTTTCGAAGCGCCCGGATGGATTTTTTCATGCCCGGAAGGGCCTTCTAGTCATGGATAGCATGCGGGCACACATGACAGACTTGACACTAAGGCAGATTAAGATGATGAACTGCACCCCTACAATAATACCCGGCGGTATGACGAAGATTCTGCAGCCTTTAGACATAACCGTAAACCGCAGCTTTAAAGCTGTTTTGCGACGCATTTGGGAGGCGTGGATGACGGAAGGCGAGCACAGCTACACCGCAACTGGACGCATGAGGCGCGCTTCGTTTAGTGAAGTTGCAAAGTGGGTCCATGAGGCCTGGAGTGCAGTTTCAGCGGCAACCATAACTGCAGGCTTCCGCAAGGCTGGCCTACTAGCTTCAGCGCCACCTCAGCACGACGATGACGACAATGACCTGAGCGACTCTGAGTGTGAAGAGACTGTCGCAGCAGAGTTGCCGCCAGAAATTGCCGAACTTTTTGACAGCGCATCCGAAGATGAAGACTTCGCAGGTTTTGAGTAGAAATAAAATGTTATGGGCATATGAGAAAGTTCTTTCGTCGTTATTTATTTATTTTTTTTTGCAAAGGGTTGGGTGGTTGGGGCGTGTGGTGGCTTTTTCGATCACTTCACGCCGCATAAAGGCCCAACCACATGCCGCGTCGGCGTTTCCCGGTTAACGCCGAGGTCTGTCCTGTCCAGATATGCGCGTCGCTTTTTTTCGGATGGCCTTCGGGCGATGCGAGCAGGCGCCGGGAAACGCCGACTCGTCTCAGACGCGCCCGTGTGGTTGGGTCTTACGGACTTCTCACAGGTAAGGTGCATTTCGCAATGGTCGCGCAAGCGTGCTTAATTAGTTTCGTTAGCCTATGTGGATAAATTCGGGTGCGTCTTATACACGGGTGCGTCTTATATACCAACTTTTTCAATGAGAGCCTGCATATAGGGTGGGTGCGTCTTATACAAAGGTGCGTCTTATACACCGGAAAATACGGTATTTACCCAAACCGTCTCAGAAAATTTTGCCTATATAGCAGGGTGATAGTATTAACAGGATCCTCAATAAAGGGAAGCTGAAAGGGTTTTTGAACAAAACGGATTACAGGTGATTTCTATCGTATTTTTCTATCGTGAATATGAATATCATGAGCATTTGACCCAAACATATCGCTAGACATGAGGAAAACCTAAAAACCAACCGCTGGGTGTGACGTCGTACCCAGAGGTTTGAACTGCCTCGCGAATGCTGCTTATGAGGGAACTCGTGTAGCAATTTCGACTGGTCAGGTAAGGTTTGCGCAAAGCCCTGAAATGCTGAAAACTTTGTATAATACTTCACAATTCTCCCCTCCCACCGAACGTGCCGGGAAGGAGGGGCTTTGACGCTATCTTCAAAGCACCGTTGTGGCTACTTGGTGCATCAATCTAAAATATAATTTTAATATTTGTGATTCTGCAGGCCAAATGAAGATGACTTAAGTGTTGTTTTTTTTAAATGCAGAACAGCTTCAGTTTTAAACGATTAGAAAGAGGAGACACACAGGGGACAGCACAGACGGGACATTCTTTTGACTTCAACTACATTTGTTATGGACCTCAAGCACGGTGCAAGACCGCTCAAGCATGATGCAAGGCTGCTCAAGCATGGTGCAAGACCACTCTACAGTCTTACACCGTGCTTGACGTCGATAATAAATGTAGTTAAACTTGAAAGAGTGCCCCATCTGCGTGGTCCCCTATGCCTCCTCTTTCTAATCATTTAAAATAGCCACCAGCATGCTCGAATAGTACAAGCTTCAGTTTCCTTTTAATAACACGTGACTGCATGCGAGCCTGCCGTACAATAAAAAGTGCAAAGTGGCCAGGTTGTGGGGGCGTGGCGTGCCTCACCACAAGTTCCTCATCTCTTGCCTTCGGGCCCTCATGAGGGACTTGTACTCGGAGATGCGGAGCTTCTTGCCGTCCACGATGCAGGTGCGCTTGGGCCGGGGCCGGTACCGGTAGTCCGGGTGCTTCTCCATGTGCAGCTTGCTCAGCCGAGACTGCTCCTCGTAGTATGGCTGCTTCTCCGAGTTGGACATGGCCTTCCACCGGGCCCCTGCGCACGGACCAGAGCCCCAAGGTGAGGTCCCGCCGTCACCACACTGCAAATGGGCTATTTACAAAACTATTTAAAGGGTTTCTTTTACCGCAAAAACACGCTACACCAAGCCGAACGCTCATTCTCTGCTCAAATGTAGCGCCAGCAGTCCGAAGCAGATGCCAGAGCTTCAGAACTACTCTTATTCAAAAGTTACAAATGATTTTCGGACATTTTTAATCGGAAGATGGCAGCCGACGTAGGAGCCCTTGAATACATGGAGCTGAATGGCGCCAGTTATCGAGAATAGGCCCTATCTTTCCATTGAAATTTTCAGAAAATTTGGAACAATGTTACGGTTATTTCTGAAACTTTGGCATCTTGTTCGAACCAATAGTACGGCGGTTCACAAGACGAAGGGTTCAGTGATGCGCCGTTGATTTTTGGGTGAATAAAGTCATGTAAACGTTTTTGGAACGAGAGGAGAGAGAGAAATGGAGCCGATATGTCAACACCTTCTAGAAGACAAAGCTGTAGTGCTGACATTTTTGCGTCGCCAGCGAAGGCCAACGCTGGACACAGATTTAAAAACGAGTACTGCGTCAGCACTCGGCTACGAGTCAAGTTTGAGTCGAACGTTGACAGAATTATCGTGTCCAATCTGTGCCTAGCGTTGGTCTTCGCTGGTGACGACATCTCTATCAGCACTATGGATTTGTTATCTAGGAGGCATTGGATACGTTTGGGCAGTCCCGGCAGTATAGCCCACCAGAACTGCCCAGACATTGAGACTGTGCGGTTTGTGGTCTGCCGTCGAGTTCAGGCGCATGCCCTTTCCCCCTTTTTCCCCGCCATATCCGTTGAAATGCCTGGATATAGGCAGATGGTTCTGAAGTACAATAAAATGGTGCCATCCAGAGAGCTTCTAGTGCAGATCTCTAAACTCCAGCTCGCAAAGGTCTTCCGACTGGCCAGTGGGGCAGTCCACAACCCTTCCAGGCCCGCTTTGCTACTGGCACGAAAATAAGCGTACATAGAAACGGCGCTGCAACGCGCACCAACCGCTTAAACCGAGATACAAAAAAAAAAGAGAAAAAACTTCCTATTGTAGGCGTGTCCCCTCGTCATATTATTCAATGGACATTGTCCTCGCCAACGTACCATTCTTGGTCCCCTGTTTCATACCTGTGTAAAATCGTATGTTAAACCTCCTGTGCATTCCTATGTATATTGAGCTTAGTGTCCTGTGTTGTATCTATTACATATTGGCAGCATCAGTTCTTTCATTCTGATTTCTTAGTCTTCTGCCCTGTTGGAACATGCCAAAATTTCTGTGCACTTTGATTTATGCCTGGTCAGTTTTCTGGGTCCCCATTCTTGTGTAATTTTATAGTTTATAGCTAAAGACTGCATTTAAAGATAAACTAGGTTTATTTATCCACCTTACAGTCATTTGTTTTTTTTACTTCTGACTCTAACTTTTAATTTTGTATCTAACAATTGCTTACTTAGGATTATTTATTTATTTGTTCCTCATTTATATTTACTTATTTTTCTTCCGGTCCTTGAGACAGAGACAGATTCCTGATCTGGACCCTTAGCGAAAAAGTATGGAGACCCCTGTTCTAGAGGAATGCTTTATTGTCTGTTGCAACTTAAAATTGGCGGGCGATGCTCCTTTTCCAGCTTGTGCTCGTTGCCTTCCATCAGGTTTGGTTGCGTATGCACCGAAGAGTTACCGAAGGTAGAAAGCTTTCCTTGGAGGTGATTCTTCTACTTCAGATTTTATATTGCAACAGACAGTGGCAGTTATTCTGACTTACTTGATTACTCGAGGTAAGAAGTAATTGGCCGTTGCCTGAAAAAGTGTCCCTTTACTTCTGCAATTACTTCTGATTTTCAAAACAACAGTTTTCTGCCGGTTTAACAATGGGTCTTTCATACTGCCCATTATTGGATTATAATCACAGAATTATGAACTACTTATCTTCCTAATCAACCAATTTTCATCCTCCTGTCTGAGATTTTGTTCGAGGATTCCTCCGGGAAGGGAAAAAAATAGCAGTTACAAGCAATTTTAATACTTTCAAAAGTAATCAGATTATTCTTGCGATTGCTTTCTAATAAATGTAAATAAACTATTACTAAATCACTCCAACAACTAACAGATTACAAGTAATTTGATTACTTGTAGTGAGTGCTGTACAAGCCTGGTTTGGATGCAAGTTTGCAATAGGTTCTAAAAAATGTCTCCTAAAAGGGATGGTGAAATAGGAGCTCGTGGGGAGGTGCAGAACGACACCCTCTCTCCCCCCACATCCTTTCGTCTCATTAAAACATCGGGGAACTTTCAAAGAGATGCATAATTTCCAAAGTAGCTGCTTTTGGGGGCTGAGTCTTTTTTTGTTCAACCTCTGGTAAGCCGAACTTAGTGGATCATCTCTCTCCAATAATCCTTTCCTCGTTGACCACGCTAAAGGGCGGATCTGTAGAGTCGCAAATAAACGATAAAATCAATAGTTGAGGAGGAGCACCTCGTATGTTTGTTTACCCCCGAAACGCACTCGTGCTGTTGTCCCCCCCCCCTTCTTCTTCCCCCCTGGAAAACGTTCTGCGGACGCCTATGGCTGGCAGCCAGTGGTTCCTGCACCAAGACTGGCCATACATAATAGTAATCATGCATCTATGTTTATTGGGCTGTTTCCGATTGTGTTCTCCCAAGTCTTTTTCACTCAATTCTTTCTATTTCATGATCATTTGTACTCATTATCTGTCAATACTTCATCTCACCCGTAGCTATAAACCCAGAAATCATGCTGCTGAAAAAACAAATCATTCTTCCTGAGCAGCAATTCTAGTCGTATACCAAGCGTGTGTACCCAACCAAAATTTCTAGACATCTTAAAAAAATCTTGGGGTGGGCACTAGATGAGTTCAAGAGCAGAACTACAGAAAAGGCAGATATAATAGGGTGGGCTCCGACGCTTTGCACCAGAGTGCTTGGAGAAGCCGCTGATATGCGGAGAAGCATATAGCTAGGTTAAAGTGACCACCTTCCTGCCGGCGAAATGCGGGACACCCTGACCGGGGGGGGGGGGAGGGGAGGGGGAGAGGAGGATGAGGTAGGAGGAGGGCGGTATTTTCACGAGTTAAGAAATAAGTAGTAAAGGAAGTTCACCAATGCGCACACCCCAAAATCTTGTGCTGTCCCAAAACATATTTATTATACACCTGAAAATTGTACAGAATTGCACGCGGCAATTAAACTAAGATAAGTTTCACTGACAGTGATATATTTTTGTTTAATCGTAATGGTGAATATTTTATTAAAAGTTTCGAAATTGAAAATATAAAAATCGACTGCACCAGACCCCAATGCATCAAAAGGAATTAGGAAACAGTAAATATTTTTCGGCTTACTGTTTCCTGTCGATACTTGCTCTTATACTAAAATGCTCGTACACAAAAATCAAACCTTATGTTGTTTTTTTAATGTTGTAAGTTGCAGGTTTTCTGCCTTGTGTGGCCGTCTTTACTAAAAAAAAAAGCTTTCTACAACAACCCTTTCGCTTGATACAGTATGATGTGCAAATAATTACAATAGTTTATTTTTCAACTTTTGGGGAGCAATTTTCGCTTGCAATACTTTGCCATCAAGGGGAGAGGCACAACGGCGCATGCGCTTTAGTCCCCTGAAAGTATGACGGTTGCTTTCCGCAGTGCTTGGCTAGAAAATGACATACCATCGAGATTCACACGTTTATCAGCGACCTCCGCGCTTGCCCGTTGTTCGGAAGCGCCATAATTTGCGTAGTGAATGTTATGGCAATGTAAAATGCGGGACATTTTGAAGATTTTGGAATTTCTTGCGAGACACCAGCCCTCAATGCGGGACAGTCCTGCGAGTCGCGGGACGGGTGGTCACCCTAAGCTAGGTGGGCCCGGACGTTTGGGGTAGGCGCTTGACGTGTTCTTTGCTTAGTTGTCAAGCGTTTCAACAAGCCAGGTCAGCGCCTATTGTGACATGTGCGCATGCCCAATATTTTACAATATTTTTCTATCTGTGGCCCCATTCGATAGACCTTTTCGAAAGTCTGAAACGGCGTATGTTCGCTGTTGCTCGATCGCGCATTCTGAGCACGTATTCGGCAAGGCTGATATCTCAAACAAGTGCTGCATCGACTTGCGCCGAGGACTCAGATCCAATTGCGTGCTTCGTGTTCATGGATGGATGGATGGATGTTAACGACTATACCCTTTGTAACGGGCAGTAGCTTGCGCCAGCTGGTCTAAGAGACAAAAACATAAACCTTCCCGCCCTTCTAAGACCAATTTTCTCCCCCTAACTATCACCAGGCAGAGTGGAATATCACCAGAATGACCTTCGGGGGATCGGGCAAAAAAAACTAAAAACATCACCCCCTTGCCTCTTCCCCCTGGTGAGGGAGTCGCCAATTTTCCTCTGGTCCAACCTTGTCGGCGTTACCCCAGCGCCGGACTCACTGGGAGACAGGGTTGAGACTTTGGGTCGGAGTCACGTGAGAGGGAGTCCCAATTCCATCATCACCAGTAAAACCTAGGGCCCCGGCCAAATCCGTTACCCTTCAGGGAGGGCAAGGAGAAGCCCCGTCCACTTCAAAACAAAGTGTTCTAGTGTGTTGCTATCATTATGGCAGGTGGCACATAATATGTCTGTCTCCTTAAATTTAGCTATATACCTCATTGCCCTCAAAACTCCCGTTCTCACGTCAAACAGCAAAGAACTTCCCAGTGAATTGTCAAACACATTTCCCTTTCTTGTGTCCTGCTTTCGTGACCTGTACACTGTTAAAGCTGATTTCTCCTGCATTCTTCCTTCCCTCTCTGCCTCTTTCACCCCCTTTTTCACTGAAGTAGTCTGTTCAGCCCCATCACCAGTGTGTAGGTATTTAAATGTAAGCTTTTGGGTTCAGTTTGTCCATTTTGTGTTTAAACTTTTCATGTATGAAAACTTGAATACCTTCCGTGCCCACCGCATATCATCCATTTCGGTCAACCTTTGTTCAAATTTTAACTTACTAATTGCCTTTCTGCTCTCGAAAGATGCACATCCCATGTCCCCCTGTACTCCCTCATTTGGTGTTTTTACAGCGGAGCTGTTAAGGGCTAGTTTCTCTAAGACCGTGTCCCCCGCAAAGGAATGAAGACACCGAACTCTGGACACCTACCGCCATTTATGAGCAACGGCGGCAAGCCACATATCTGGTTGCCGCCGTCACTCATAGATGGCGGCAGCCTTTCCACTCTGGCTTGCCGACTTGCGGCCGGCTGTTGCTCTCCATTGTACAGCTCCGCTGGTCTTCCTTCTTCACCAGAGTGGAAAGGCTGAAAGTTTTTCCATGTGCTCCCAGTGCCAATGTGCCTATGCTTCTTTGTCGAATTTCTAATCCTGATTGAACCTCTGACTTCATGCACAGTACTGCATTGCCAAAAGACTGTCCTGGTACCATCACACCTTTCCATATACTTCTGACCACTTCACATCTATTATAGTTCTATAGTGCCTTGAGCTTCATAACATATGAATTTCTTTTCCCTTTTCTACTTATATTCTCCTCATGTTCCTCTAGATATTTCCTTCCCTCATTGAGCTAGACTCCCAGACTTCAAGCTGTGGCAACTGCCGATGTTGCTCAATGAACTTTTGAAAAGGATATTCTGGGGTAGGAATACCGTTCAGATTTCCGGCGTGCAACGCGCAGCCAAGGTGCTAAAACCTCGGGCAAACTTTCTCACCGAGTATCTTTGAGATGTTTGAGTTGTGCATGTCAGGACAGGCCTTGAGTATCTTGCGTCTCTCGTCCTTGGCCCAGACCATGAAGGCGTTCATGGGCCGCTTGATGTGGGGCTTCCCATCGGGGTCCTTCTTCGTCTGGCGGATGATCTTGGCACCTGCTATCTTGCCTGCACAGTGAGCAATTCCGGGCTTTCATGATCTTCTCTAAGATGGGAAAGAAATCGTTATCTGATTCTCGGATTCTCTGCTGCGAGAAAGAAGCCACTGAAGTAAGGATATGGACTGTTGCAGTCTTAAAATAGCACGAAAAGTCCTTCCCACAAAGCTCTTGCTCTTCGTGTTTGGTGGCTCCGCGCTCTACACTCCCCTTCTTCCTATAGCGTCTGCTCTGCTAAAGTGGAAAGAGTGGAAGGCTTTGTGGGAGGAGCCCTTCCTGCTATTCCAAACCTACAAGTACCGTAATACCCCGAGAGATGGCCTACTTAAAGTCAAAAGCAAATCGGGTGTGAAAATAAGGAGTGAGCTAACTATCAGTGTGCGGTCAAAAAGAGTTGGAAAATATGCTTGTTTTATGTTTCGTGACATGCGAAACTTGGGTTTATGGGGAGGGGCGATAAACCAAAAGACGAGTTTCCTTCCCAGTCAGCAATGTTTGCTTCCTGTTCGGATAAGTAACACCACTTCTGCCGAGGTGGCCAGGACCCTGCAAATATTAGAAGTAACTGCCTATCTTTCAGTGTTTTTGAAAAAAAAAAAATAGCAAACCTTGCCAAAAATAGGGGTGGGTTGTCTTTTGGGGAGGGGGTGGGGGGTGCAGTTTTTGGGATACAGTGCAATCCCCTTATAACGATACCATATATGTAACAGTATCCTGCTTATAACGATCTGTTTCTAGAGATTTTGGACTTGAAACGCTTAGTTTCTAGTTCAGATACAACGATAATCAGTTATAACGATTGAATTTTTGGGTTTTCTAATTATTGTTTTAAGTGGATTGCACTGTATTATGGTATTCATATATTTTCTAGGCCAAGAAGCAATGTACAATTCATATCTGGAGTTTGATGCTTGTGGATATGTAGTAGGCTTGTTCGATTTACCTGCACCTCGTGCGCCGGTGTAGGAAAGTGTAGGGCAGTGTGCTTCCGGTCGTATCTTAATACACACACCGTAAAGGCTTGTTCACACATATGCAACCAGGTAAGACCGAGAGAGACCAGACCAGTTTTTAAGCCTCTTGCGATCTCTTAGGACCGGATACACTGCAGCGCATCCGGTCCCAAGACGTCGCAAGAGGCTTAAAAACCGGTCTGGTCTCTCTTGCTCTTACTCGGTTGCATATGTGTGAAAGGCGCTTAAGTATGCAGCCCTGCACTTTTCTGCACTGGTGCAAGAGGCGCAGGTAAATCAATTGAGCCTGGTGTTATAAATAAACTAGGGGGGCAAAAACTGGTTTCACTTGTTCAATACCTCACTCAAACCCCACATAGTTGTCTGTGAATTCTAAATCATAGCATACGGCACCAAGAAGTAAAAAATATCGCACATTGTTACACATATCCATCTGTCTGCATTGTCTGTGTCGTATAAAGTAGCATGCACTTTAAAACAGGCACTCGAAAAAAAACAAGAAAAAAAAAACAACAAGTTTAGAGTATTAGCAACATAAAAGCATGTTTCAAGTTCCTCTTGTTGACGCCAAATCTTCGTTCCACGCCTTTCAGAAATACAGCAGTCACAAATATTTGGCAGCTAACACTTGCCCGAGAATCTTTGAGCCAAGTTTTCGTCAGGAAAGACTGTGACAGTCAGTGTGTCTTTATCTACGACAGTTTGCCGGAAACAAAGTTTTTGCCAAGTAGTTCCGCTCCCTCAGAGCCCCTAAGCCTCTCGGCCAAACATCAGACGTCTGTCTGAGCTTCCTGCAGAAAACACTCCTTCCCCGCAAAGTTCAGTGTACATCTTTGAAAACACTCACCCGATCCTTTCGTTTCCGTCTCGGACGCGGAGCTGTCGTTGTCCCTGCGCGACGCCGAGGAGTTTGGCGGCCTGGGCAGGGCACCCGTGGACTGGGGCAGGTACAGGTGGAGCGGGAAGGGCTTGTCCTGCCCGACCAGGGAGCTGTGGTGACTCATCTCCTTGGCCCCCAGGCTGCCCGAGAGCAGGCCACCTAGAATCGCCAACCTCTCTGAGCATGGCGCAACCCCAAGGCCATATAAGTCGCAGCCTGGCTACGGACAAAGCAACAATGCACAAAGACGGGCGAAGCCGGTAGTAAGAAATTTCAAAAGAAAGCTCCCGGCAGCCACAGAATTCGCTTCTTTGAGCCTGAAGTGGCTAAGTCTCCTTAGACACCGAAAGGATGAGAACGGCAGGGCATTTCGATCCTTCGGACGTTTAGCTTCCAGCAGGCACTCGTTGCTTTACGTTATACTTTGGCTGTGCAAGCACGCTCAAAGCTCATGAGATGCCAGAGTGTTACCACAGGTAGAAAGCTTATGATAGAGGTGCAACAACTGGAACTCCCTGTCTTTCTCATCCTGTCAGTTACTATACCATATTTTTTAGACTATAGTTTCAGACTATACGTGTTTAAATGTAGAAATTTTACCAGATGCAAACTATCTACAGGTGTGGAGTGGACTATATGGGAATTTTTTTTTTTTTTTCAGATTGTTTACTGTGACAAGACGTGAGGGATTTTTTGAACGACGGAGCGTATTACTGTTGATTTATGTGTGATACAAGCTTCTTGGTGAGCTCATACAGCAGGCATCTGTCAAGGTATGCCGTATATGATCACCTTTACATTCGAACTAGGTACTAAGTGTGGACTGTGCTCGGCATGCGGACTATCCACCCAGTGCGGACTATCTAAGCAAAAGCTTTTATTTTTGACCCCAAATTTGTTTTGCCGGATTATGCACCAAGTACGGACTATAGTTCGGAAAATACGATAATAGTGAAACACAGTCTGCCCTTCTGTAGGGAGTTTCCTACCCAAGTCTAGCTACATGGCTACTGGCATTTCAATATGATGTCAATCAATTGAACCACAGAAATTGGAGTCTTGATGCTGCACGTTCAAAGAACATGTTTTTCTTTCTTTTTTTTCTTTTTCCTCCTTATGTATTATTTTCCATAGTCCTTCCATGTTTTCGTTGAAAGGTATACTAGATTTGGCATTGAATCTCTCATGCCACATTGTTGTGGAAGGCGTTGTTTCCACGGTGTTCCAATGCTGTCAAAGCTACTTGCGCGAGCATGTGGCTTTATTTGGCACTAGAGCTTATGCTAATGTGTTACAAGACAAAGTCATGTGCGAGGCTGCCGCCTTATGGAAGCTATGCTAGCCTGTCGCACAAGAAAGTTGCCGTCAAGTATGGAGTGATTTGTTAGAAAATTAGATTTAAAGGAACCACTAGGCATGCTGCTTCCATATTTGATTTTCACTTAGAAGTCTGAACGATGAAATTTGAAAAATGTAGGAACACCGCCTAATTAATGCTCACCTTGTAGCACATCACAACATATTTAAAAACTTACTCATGCAGTTCGATCAATCAACAGCACATTCAAATAAGTCACTTCATACAACAATGACACACCGAGTCAAGCGTAGGAATAATTTGAGTTGAAAACTGACTTGGAAAGCACCAAGACAGAAAGGAGCCTTACCTTTTGGAACTTAAGATGAAATGGAGTTCTGCATTTAATCGTAGCTAAATGCTGCACCATGGTTGATAATGACTTAAAAATGTGGCAGAAACTCTGCTTCCAATCTGTGCTCATTGCCTTCCATCGGTATTTGAGTGTGCGTGCTCACAAGATGCCAAAGTGTTTTTGAAGATAAAAAGCTTGCATTGAAGGTGGAACTTCTGCCGCATTCTTAACCTGTCACCTACATTGGGTCAACCTCTAGATGAAACAAAGGAAAAGAAATTGTATCATAAGGGACTAGCACTTTTAGAACTGGTAGTTGTAACCTAACAAGTCTATAAAGTAAAAGTTGATCCCTAAAGGCGAGAGATCACTTTATGCATGTCTGGGATTGAAAAAAGGATGCCTCACACATTGAGGTAAAATATTTGTAAAAGCCAAAGAGAACATATTTTTTCACGTGGAATTTTGTAGACCATGCAACAAGTTTCTGTTCAATTAATGCTGAAAGTAACAGTGTCATTTCTAGAAGGAACGTCATTCCATAAAGCATTGATTTTAATCGAGAGGGCACAGAGGTGCAATCTTACCTGTGTAGGAGGGTATTCCTGGGTGTCCCATGAGACTGGAGAGGGAGACTGGGATGCTAGCCGGTGCTCTCAAATGAGGCGGGAGACCGGGATACGCTGCCGCGGCCGACAGAAATGGTGAGCCCATCTGCCGTTGCATAGAAAAAGAGGAAATGTTTTTTCTATTACTTAATAATTACTTTCTTGCCCCTATGGCATATGAGCAATGTGGAGTGGGGACTGGTACAGCAGCAAGCAGCTGCGATTAAAATCATGAAGGAAGTACAGCAAGACATGTATAATATGAGTGGGCTGTCCGCCACCTAAGGGAACTTTGTCAATGATTAACATTCATTTCATTTCATTTATTGTTCCCTTAAAGCGCCCATAGGGCTTTACATAAGGGGGGGCTTTGACAACAAACAAAAACAATGAAAGGAAAAACACAGGGTTAAAGGTTGCTAAATATCGAGAAAAGTAGCAAGTGCAGCTCTGAATCCAGATGAGTCTTGAATTGTAACAATATGTTCTGGCAGAGAGTTCCATTCTGAAAGTGATGACTGCAGTGGAGAGAATTTAAAAAGGTTTGTCCTTGGCGTTACCAGATGAACTTTCTGAGAATGGTCTGTACGAGGAGAAATGTGATGAGCCGCAGGACAGTACAATTCTCTCTTTAAAGGGGCCTGATAATACAAAGCGTGTAGTGAAACTAGTCTGGTCAGTTTCCTTCTTTCTGCGAGCAGTGGAAGGCCGAGTTCTTTTTTTTAGCGTAGTAATGCTAGTGTGTGTGTAATTTTTAAGAATGAACCGAGTTGCCTTGTTTTGGATTGACTCTAATTTCTGTATTAGGTAAGCCTGGTGGGGGTTCCATGTTGTAGATGCATACTCGAGCTGCGGGCGAACAAGGGCAGCGTAAGCTACGAGTTTTGTCTCCCGGTTAGCCATAAGCAGTGTTCGTCTCAAAAAACCGAGGCTTTGGTTTGCCTTTACAACGACATGATTAATATTAGCTTCCCATGACAAGTTTGACATGAAATGAACCCCAAGATATTTGTACGTGTGCACATGTTCAATGGGCGTATTAAAAAAAGAGTAGCTAAACACTGTGGCTCTTCGCTTAGTGTTGAAGTTTAAGAATTTTGTTTTTAAGATGTTGATTTGCATTTGCCACTTTTTACACCATGTTTCTAGGGTAATCAAGTCATTCTGAAGTTGAATGCAATCACTAATGCAAGATATCTTCCTATACACCACACAATCATCCGCGTACAAACGGATGGTTGAAAGAATACTATTGGGTAAATCATTCACGTACAAAAGAAAGAGCACTGGACCCAGCACGGTCCCCTGCGGCACTCCCGATTTTACTTTCTGATGTGACATAATTTGTGCAGAACGACGATTCTACTCTGAAGACGGGATGGTGCTAGGGATTAGTGAGAGGCATTGGAGCATCGCTTTCTAATTAAAAGCATAGCAGCATTAGATGTCATCCCAATGGAAACCTGCTGGATTCTTGTTTTGAAATTGAAAACTGTCACGTTGACAATGCTTGTGGAAATGGAGCGTGCCGGTAAAGTTACAGTGTTAGAGGAGAATTGCATAAATGACGAGGACATTGCGTGAACATCTGCGACTGTTGTCGCACTGAGTTGAAAGAGTTGAGGAGGAAAGGAAAAGAGGGTGGAAGTGGAGAGAGAAAAAAACATGTTTTTGAGCCGACCACACTCGCCGAAGTTGCTGCGGCAGCAGGAGCAAAGGAGGTCTAGTGAAGAGGAGGAAGCGTAATCAGCGAAGTGACCTCAAGGAGGGATGAAAGGGTGGAGAGAAACTTCCTTTCAAAGGCACCTAAGTTTGTTGTAACTCTGGACACAGAAAAGCCATGTCGACGTCAGAGACACAGAGAGATGGAGATCCAATGTTTTGTAAAGAATGGTGCATGGCGAAAACTTCGATTATCTCGCAGCCGTATCTCGACCTATGGCTTCCAGATGTGGTGGCAGCAGAAAACTCTCGTTCGCAGGACGGGCAGGCGCCGACGTGCTGGGCTATTGGATAGGAGCTATGAACGAATGAATTGGAAGCCGCCTGCTTGACCTCGTTGGCATGCTCCCTCAGATGGTTGTTTAGACATCGCCCTATCTGACCAATGTGCCCGCACCTGAGCAGGATTGAGTTGACGCTCGCATGTCTGCAAGGTACGAACTGCAGAGCGAGGAGTGCCTGAGGCGGCATGAAAAGAAAACCTGTGTGTCGTGTCGGGGTGCTAATGATTTGATTCTGTGAAAAATGTTGTGCACATATGGAATGCACGCAAAGCGGGATGCGTGAGGCCTGCCCTCAGGTTGTGTGCCGGTGGCCTGAGCTGTGATAATGGATTTAAGATGGGTCGCGAGTAAGTCTTTCGAATAGCCCACCTTGATGAAGCGGGTGAGCTTTAGGGACCAACTCGTTGAGACCAGGTGAGGGCATGACTTTGATCGGGATGAGTTTCAGGAGGTTCTGAACAATTCCGCTTTTTACCTTTTTCAAACGTTAACTGGGGAAGGGAAGCACTGGTTTGCATAATCTATGCTGGAAAAACCAGCAATTGCCGGACTCTAAAGGATGCAGGCAAAGGTCCAGAAACTGCAGTCCCTCTTGCGTGGGGTCCTCGTTGGTGAATTTTAGGCCAAACGAATTATCCGAAAATGCCTGTGCTATAGTTTGAGGATCTGAGGTAGCTTAATGAACGATGAGGTAGTTGTCTACATATCGGAAGATGGATGTGTTTAAGGCAAGAGTTGCAAGGGTTTTGGAAACCCGCTTATCCAGGAAGAACAGGTAGATTTATCCCAAGATGGGGGCCAGGCACGCACCGATGCACACCCCAGTCTTCTGGGCAAAGACCTTTCCCTCCTGCTTCATCGGGTTGAGCATAGCTAGAGGTCGATGAGCTCCAGAGACCCCGACACTGAGATTCCTGCTGAGTTCTGGAACCTGACCGCGCTGTGGAGGTGAATGGCGTCTCTGACGAAACCGAGCATAGTGGGATGTCTAGGCTATAATACATCTCAACTACATCAAGCGAGAAAATGGCGACGGTGTTCCAAGGAGAATGAAGTTTGTCTAAGAGCTTTAGCTGAGCTGTGGAGTTGTCAATGCAGAAGGAGTGAGGGAGCAAAAGAACTGAGAGTTGCTTTTTCAGAAACACGCCCAAGGGCCTTAGGCCTGCAGCCTTTTTCCGAGATACTGCTACGAAGTGGAATGCCTGGTTTGTGGGTTTTGGCCGAGAAAAAGATAGAAAGATATTGCTGGGAGGGCGAGCTGATTAGGCTCTAGGAAGGTTCAGAGAATCGCAGAGGGCCCTGGCCTCGGAGCGCAGTGAGCCAGGCTCTGAAAGGCGTGAATTTCTTGCAAAAGGCAGCCGCCGTCTTTTGATCCAGTTGGGCCTTGGAGAGATGTGTCATCCTGATCTCATCATTTACGTAATTTGCCTCTAACACCTTGCCAGTGTTTGCTCTGTTAAACCGAGTTTGCTCCTGGGACTCGTATAGTGAAGGTAAATTTTTTAAAAGCTCCCCCCCTTGACAGATGTGGAGAGATGACTAGATTGTTGCTTGCAAGCAAGGTAACTAGGCAGACCAGCGTTCCTAAACCGGCTCAGGTTGAACTCTATCATGTGTCTCCAGTGCAAACCATGCAACGATTCCATAATCCACAGCTCTTTGCATATTTCATGTGCATCGATTCTACTACAAAGGTACTATGAAATTGCATTTCATCTTGGGCTAGAGGTAAAAGGGTTGCATAGGGAGTATTCATTGGTGGTTATAACTGTGTGCTTTTTGGTTAAGTGTGTGATGACAGCGAGTATTCACCAAGACTCTTGCACCATCAAAACTGTTGTTTGTAGCAGACCATAAGCTGCTTTATCCACAGCTCATGCCGATGATGGCTAGTGAACACCTCCCATAGTGATCCACTGTGGCAACGTCAGTTCGAAACAAGGGACTAAGCGCTGCTGCTTCTTAAAGCGATAACTTTATGGGTGGCTCTTTGAAGAGATTTCGTCCTGGTAGGTTGTCGTCGCTGCGCACGCTAAGCATTGGAAAACCCTTGTTTTCTCCCCTCTTGACACGAGGAGAGGGAAGTCGGGACTTCCAGTCAACCGTACTGTGCTCAGATAGCGAAAAGGGCAGCCCTGGGGTATCCCACCAAGAATGGCGGGAAGAAGGGAGAATCTTCGTGTCGTCTGCTTTAAACAAACAGTTGTTTTCAAATATTCCTCGCGTTATGCGAAATCCTTCTTTGGCCGTATCTAGTTGCTATGCTATGCGTAATGTTGGATGGTTTTAGAAACTTCTACCGCACTCACCCATCTACTTCCCAGATCACTGGTGGCAGTCGTCAGTGGCATCCATGACGCCAACTACGACAGCTATGAAAATTAACCACGTCACACGTTCATCCTCAGGTATGTGACGGCACTATTCCACCCGCATTGCGCGATTGTGCTACAGCTACTGCTTTTGTTTCTTCGCACATTGTGGGTGAAAAATACGACTTTTTTCTTACCGAGATCGGAGCACTAGCTGCGGTAGCACTGAGCAGGCTTGCTGCTGAATGAGGCGAGATCCCTGGCTGGAACCCCCGGGGAGATATCGACCCACGATCCGACTCCCGTAGCTCGTGCTTTATCGTCGCCGGTGTTGGGCTCCCACTAATGCTGCACAAAGACCAAAGCATGGGTTAGCTCACGTGAAGCAACAAAAAAATGCCGGAGAAGGCTGTGCAGAGAAAAGTGATTGCAATGTTACTTGCTCTTGTTTCAACACCCAATGCATAAAGAAATTAAATTGGAGGCCACGTGTATTGCATTTGCTGAACACTGCTCTGATTTTGCCTATCATTAGTACAACTAATTTCATATCTTTATATAAATACATATATATGAAAAGGGGCACATAATATAGAATCCTGAAAGTCTCACACACATAACAATCAGCACATATTTTTTGTCTTTTATTATGTGCCTTTTTTTTTTTCTTACACACTTCTGTGTTTACTTCTAAAAGCTTTCCGGTGGGAGTATCCCTAAGTGCTATCATAGCCTAATAACATCATTCATTGGCAGGTGCTTACGGACCAGGTTGAATGGCGGAAGCCACCACCCACTTCAAAAGACTCGGCCATATCCATCCATCCATCCATTGTATTAGACCCTTCAGGCCACCAAGGCCGTATTCTCTGTATACTCAATGTCACTCCGGAGTAAAAAGATTGTACCTTAGCATTCAAGAGCCTACTCACATAAGTGTCACCCTTTTTGTGTTGTCACACAATATGACGCATGGGGGTAGCTCAAGCGTACTCGAGTAAGGTTTGGAACGCAGCCTGAGATATTCACCGTTTCAAGAAAACAAGATAGCTCTACATCAACAGTGATAGGTTGGGAACTTCATGGCAGAAGTCATTCATTCGAAGGCTATGACAAAGAAATCTCAAACACTTCGGTAGGCACTGAGCATGTCCACAAAGCCCTACACCGAGCGAACATCACGAATGTCAGCACTTTTCTACATTTTTATGTTCAATAAAGTTAATATTATTGTTGTTATTATTGCTATTATTGTTGTTGTTGTTGTTATTATTGTTGTTGTTGGTGTTAAATAATTGCCTGGCTTAGACATTTTGTTCAATTCAGTGGAGGTGTGGTAACTCTAAACAGGGTGTTTATTTTTAACTAGCGGCATTTTCCAACGATGGGCCTCGGAATCCTTTGCCCACTGTTTTGAAGAACAGTTCTCAAAGCGTTGGCAGCGACGGGCTGCTGCCAAGGCCTTCCGATCGAGGGTGGCATGTGCGCTCTTGGCTAGCTGAGCCTCAGCTAGCTGTCCCTTATGCGAGCGTGCTTCTTCTCCAATCATGCACCTCTTCTTTGGGGACATCTCATCACTTTGTCCGAAATGCCGCGGTACATACAGTGTAATTGTAAAATGTCGTCGAAGCTAGGAAGCTTGCGCCGGAGCTAGGACAGTTGAAGCTCTTCCCTGCTGTTCTCACCTTCTCTGTAAGTATAGTTTATTCTATTAAGACCTTCAGTCTTACAGTCTGGATAATATGGTAGAAACTCTACCAAATTATGGTAGAGTTCCAACTCGGTTTGTACTGGGGTTGAGAGCTTGTCAAGCCATCTAGCGCGTCTTTTTTTCCCTTCAACCCTATCATTACATGTAATGGGAAATAAAGAATATTATTATTATTACAATGTGCAGCACCACTCAATTCCCCTTCACCTTCGTGCCGCACAATTCCATAGGTCACGTGCGCTATCATACATCAAACCATGGCAGGAAGTCAGTCACTGAGGAGCAACGAACCCCTAGGAGAGTGTCAGCAATGAAGGGCAGCTCGGCTGCCGACACTCCGAGAGAGTTCAACCATTGAAGGACAGTCGGCAACAAAGCTAAGGCCATGGGACAGAACATCAGCAAAGTAGCTGCACTCCATTGTTGACGCTTTTTTTTTTTATGGTCTTAGCTCTGTCTCACAACCTCCGCTCCGTTGCTGACACCCTTTTTATGGCCTCGCTTGCTAGGGCCACAGAAAACGTGACCAACAAAGGTCTGTAGAGGGTCCCGTAAAGAGCCATCACTTTAAACAAGAGGAGAGAGAGAAAGAAAGAGAAGTGTGCTCACAAATAGTTGCCGTACCTGCTGGCAGTGCTGCCCGAGGAACTGCCCCTGGGTTTGCTGAGGTTGAGGGGCGTGTCCGAGTCGGGCGCCGGGTCCGGCGCCGCGCTCGGGGTTGGCGTCCGGTTCCCGGACCCGACGGACGCGGGACTCGGGCCACCGGGCCCCAACCGCACCGTGGGCGTGAGCGGGCTTCCGGACAGCGGCAGCAGCGGCCCGGCGCCAGAGACCCACGGCTGGAGCGGGGACATGGCGGCCTGCGGGACGCCGGAGAAGAGGACGTTCGGGTATGAGATGGGACTCCTCGGCCAACAAAGTTTAAGTCATGTTCAGAAGGTTTGTGGCAGGCTCAAAATTTATTTCACAAAGGTCGTATAAGACTTGAAGGTTCAACTCCAAAACGAATGCTTTCAAATACTCGTGTTTTTTTTTGTTTTTTTTTTCGCGAACAGTTGAGGAATAGAATAGACCAAATATATATTAAATGATTATATGTATTATATTCATTGATCATTGATTCTTGTATATTTCTGTATACGTATTTGCATGTGTGTGTGTGCGTGTGCGTGTGTGTGTGTGTGTGTGTGTATAAAATCAACCCGCTGTTTCTCCGAAACACGCGTCTGTGTTGCAACAAAGCGAGATCCGCAAAAGCGCGGCGTCCACTCCGCGAATGTCGCTTCTCCACAGTTCAGCGGTGCCCAAGGAGAAGCGCACTTGACGGAGCTGACTGGCTCCTCGAGACGGCCCAAGGAATGAGAAACGTCGTGGAACTTGCAGGGACTGCGGGTGTCCGATACAAAGGTGCAGTAAACAGTACATAGTACACTATTCGAATCAATACAAAAGGCGAGAGCCCTAGCATTGTTTGGTAGAAACGATGCAGCAATCACAATGCTGAAAAAGGCGTTGAACGCCGGCCCCTGTGAGAAGCGGCCTTTGGAGATTACACACTGCCAGTAGCAATGGTTCAACCTACTGACACGCAAAGTTCACGTGGCATCTTTGTGAAAGGTTGGGGGAGCCATAATATTGCTTGAGCTCCGAAGATAAGAAATTGCATTTTTCCCTGTGACAGTATCAGTAGGGAGTTTTAACAAGTTGTTTTACAGCGAAGCTGGTTATGGCTAGGGTTCCGTGTATTTTTCATGTGCGACATCAAAAACTCGCGCGACCTCTTTGTCGTCGTTCTAAGCGCTAGCGTGCCTACTTTCCTTCCGTTCTCCCGGGGTGGCGGTCCCGTCGCGCGTGTCTAGTTTCCATCCGGCTCCTCAGGGCGGCGATAGTTCGTACCTTCGTTCAAAATTCTGTGTCACGTCTGTGTCGTGTGCTAAACAGCTTCGCTGGTCATTTACCTTCACAGAGTGGAATAGCTCATGTTTGGAGCGCACGGTTCCGAAATCATGAACGGCGCAGCTGCTTTGTTCCTTGAAAACCTGTGTAAAATTTAACGCGTTTTAGCGAATCGTAAAGCTCGCGCAACCGTTTAAACGATTATGATTGCGCTCGACCACCAGTGCCATTTCGTAGCAAACATATGAAACGTTCTGTAGTGTGCAAAACTGTGGCTCCCGTTTCGCTGCGCACACTGTCGTAAACAAGACGGCCGAGGTAACTTTTACCGGTCGGATTCAAGAGCTCCGAAGCGAGATAGAGTAAAATGTGTCCGAACGACCACAAAAGTAGGTGACGTGTCTCTATCTTCTTGAACTTGAACGATCGTTCACGTCGTGTGCCATAGAACCAAATCATTTCGTCTGCTCGCGGTTGCCACGGCGGCTCGTTAGTACGGACCACGAAAATTTAACCACGCGTGTAGTTTACAGCGTTCACGATCGCTTGCTCTTGTGAGTAGTCTTCGCAAATATTTGATTCAACCTCTCGGACGGAGCAAAGAGTAGCAGGATGGCAAATTGCCTCCTGCTGCGGTAAGTCTAACGCTCGGGTTGACCGGCGGAGTTGATCGTCATTTCGCATGGTCCCCGAGTCGTGAACGGTGCTGGCTGCGTTGCGGTCTTGAGGTGGCGACTACATCGGCCGGACAGAAGCGCATCCCGAAGCCCCCAACGACTCGCTGAAACTCTTACCAAGAATGGAGACCTCTTTCTCAGTCTCCACGCTCAATCGTACTGGATCTGGTCTGTTGGTCTTATGCGAACATTACTCCCTAACAAAGAGCCGCTCGACTAATTTCTGTTACTTGACGCTACAATACATTACTCGGAAGGGGGAGTTAAGCTATGTTAACGTGCCCAAAACTGAGTTCCTGCAGAAACATGGAAACCGCTCAAAATGATGAAAGGGTTATTTTAAGGGTCACTCTAGAATTGATGACGGTATAAATGACCAAAGTCATCTTTTCATTATTATTAGTGGTTTTGTAGAAGCAGCTTTGTACACATAATTCCAAAAAGTGGTGGACAGTGATAGAGGGGGATGACTTCTTTGAAAGTAAATCAATTCAATTTTCCGCTTTCCGTGATATATGTACACATACAGTATTTGCGTTGCCTTTAACATTATCAACTGCATGCTGTACACTCGTGGCATATCATGCAACTGAAAATCTTATGCTAAGTTGTGCAGTGAAAGCGAATTTAATGACTTGTGCTTCCATCCGTTATCGTCAATTTGGAGTCAAGAGCGCGTGTAATCTTTAAACCGGTGAAGAGACAAGGCTCGTTAAAAACCAAAAAACCGGTTCCTCAGAACACGGCTCCTTGCAAATACAAACAAACAAACGAAAAAGAACGAAAAAAAAAGGAGTTGAAGTGAGTAAGTGAAAGAGGCATCCGGAAACATCAACGTCAATTCCACCAACGCAAACGCCGTTTTACTCAAACAGCGCGAAGGGGAAAAGGGGAAATCATACGATATCCCCCCTCCCAACATTCCCACGCCGGAACAAGGGTACATTGAGAAGCAAGGAGTTTTAAAATCTAAAAAATAGGTTTAAAAAAAGGCACAGTTTAAGTCGAAACTCGCGGGTCGGGAACGCCGGAGAACAAATAATAAAAAAGGCACCTTTCCCCAAAAACAAGGAAATACGGAAGATGTATTCCCTTTTTTACCCGCGCCTCTTCCCCATATCCGCCTCACTTACACAAGTCCCGCTTGGTCGAGGCACCTCGGAGTGGTTTTCTTTTTTTCCCCAAGAGCAGCGACTACAATCGAATTGTTGCGCGCAGTAGGGGGCCACTACTGCACGGTAGGTAGGAAAAGCAGAACAAACTGGTCCCAGCGCATACACGAAGCACTGAATGCCTGCATATTTGATGCCAGAGAGGCATTGGCGAATCGCGGGGAATAAGAACCTAGCAGGCGTTCGCGTGTATCTATCTGTGTACTCCGTTCATCCCTACGGGCTGACAGTGTTGGAAAAGCTGCGCACTCGTTGGAGCAGTCGTACGTATAGTTTTCGCCACGTGTTCACGCTCCTTCCGCACCGTACCCCACGTGCAGAAAGCGGTGACGAAAGGGAGGCGGCCGCTGATTGGTCCGGCGGGCGCGTAGCTCCCACCGTACTGTCGGCTTTGGGGCGAACGGAGTATGCAGTACTTTCCCGTTTTCGCTGCAGCGGCTGGCTGGCTAAGTGCGCAAAAAGGGCGGCTGCTTTTGTGCCGGCGCGCCGGTTCCTCTTATGCATCGGCTTCTTCCCCCGTTTCTAGCGTTCTTGTCACTTATTCATTCATCCCCGGGAAGAACCGCTTTGTGCTGATCCAATCGCGGAAATTTTCTCTCCCCCCGCTCCGTCCCCTCCCGCTTCACGTGGATTGCGAACGACCGAAAAACCCGCTGCTGGCGGCTGAACCCGTTTGTCGGTGACTCCGCGCGATGCGACTTGGCAACGTATTCTCGAATTCTCGTCAAAAATCAAGGGTCTCGTGATGCGTTATTTGGAATTCTGTATCGGTTAATGCTCCAGTCTGATTGGCCGAGGGGCGATAATAAGAGGATCGAGACTCGCCACGCCCAAAGTGGCCACCGCTGCAACAACGGCCATTTTGGGCTTTAAAACGGCCTCCACCGGCCGCGTGCATCAACACGGCCGTCGGTGTATACCGGCGGCACCGTTAATAAAAGTCTTACGTTTAAGGAACCTAGTAAACGTGTTCCTTGGGTTGTTGTGTAAAGGCCTTATCAAATGAAGGAACGTCTCGCAAGAACACGTGCGCGACACCGGAGAGCCGTTACCGACATAGGCGTTGTAGGTAAATGGATGGGTGAACGTCAGATGCTATTACCTACCGAGGTTAATTATGGTGATGATGGTACCCGTGCAGCGTTTCATACACGTTTTCACCTAAACACTGCATGGTGAGAGACATGCGGTTGCAAAGCACGAGTAAACACTCAGACAACCTCTAGATGTGTAGAAGGTCTTGCTGTGCCTCGACGACCCCAACGGGAACTTGCCGACCAGCGAGTGATCAAATAGTTTCCTGACTTCCACTCGTGCGTACGTATACAAATGCCGTCAGTGTTTTTTTCAAGCAGTAGCTTTATGTGGGATCCCTGCACGGACCTTGCTTGCTCGTGTTGATGTTGGTCGCACCATAGCAAGGCCATGAAAGATGGTGTCAGCCCATTCATTGCATTTAAACGTTTCTTTTTTTTTTTTTTTTGTAAATTTGCAAACTTTTCTCTTTTTATGTTTAATGGCACATTGTTACAATCCTGCATAAGAGACCCCCGTTCGTTCGTAGGTGTTCAAAGTTCGGTCATGGCATTTCGCCGGTAAAATGGAAAGTAAAAATACAGAGCAAACGTTAGGACAGATGAGAGGATGCCGATAGCTTGGAAAAGAATCCGAGGAAGCCGCCCTGAGAACCGTCGCCCCTGGCAACAGCCTCCGTGAAAGAGGGCCATATTTCTTGTCAACGGCATTGCCGGTCGGCTATTTCGAGGGGTCGCCGCCGCGCCACGACACACCACCGTTGCCCGGAAATTGGGAAAACGAACAGAAAACAAAAGGCAAACGAAACGAAAAGACACTCAAAGAAATGCGAAGACCATAGGCGGCGATCTGCCGCGCGCCGAACTGTCTGGCACTTCGACACGGCGACTCCTCCTCCTTTGACACGTCACTGTCTCGCCTCTTGTGCGCCGTCGCACCGCACGAGAACACCACCGTGACGCGATTTGCGAAGCCAAAAGTCCATTTGATCCCTTTTTGTGGTTTTGGAACTTCATTCAGGGTGCGCGTTTAAAGTCGTGCGCGTTCATTTCACGGTCATCGCACGCTTCAGTTTGTGAC